TCCATCGGACCTGGGCCTGGGGGAGGGATATGGTTGGGGCCTGCACACACTTGGGCCCACCACGGTTTTCAAGGGATTTGAACCGTGTGGTCAGCCATGTGGCATCTGGTTCCCTGAAGCACTAGGTCATGGGGTATCTGGTGGTTCTGCATCTGTGTTAGAATCCTGCAGGGCCTGGGTCAACAAGGCTCCTTTCAGAAAGAACATTTTACTTCTGCTCTGGAACAACATAAATGGATCCCTTGCTAGTGAAAGGAAAAACCAGTGATTTTTCTGACTACCTTCACTCAACACTTGTGATGCCAGAGATGGACCAGGATGGGGAGGTGTCCCCATACACCCAGCAATTCCGTAGCAGACAAGACCTGCATGTCCTGGAACTCAGTTCCGTTCTGACACTCAACCCCACAGGTGGAGGGCTCAGTCCCACGAGAGCCCCCCACCCCAATGCACAATCCTGTTTGTTTTTCCTTTGAGCTTCACCTGAAAAAGGAGTTCCTACAATCTCCTCCTTGGGCTTCCTTGCTAGAGAAAAGCGGTTCAGGGCAAGACGTTTACTGCTCTGTCATAAAGGGTGTTATAGAGCACACAGGTGAACAGTCTGATGGAAGACGGCGAGGCCGGTGGGAACAGGGGCTTCCTTGTCCTCTCTGGACGTGCCATTCTCTGGGGACTCCCGAGTCCAGCTTTCCAGGAGCTCCAGACCATCTGTTTGGACTTTTATAGATGTTTCATTACGTAGGCAGGATTGATTAAATCACTGGTCGATGGTGATCTACTCACCCTCCAGTCCCTCTCCCCTACTCAGGAGCCCCCAGTCACCAGATACCTCACTAGCACACGAGACACTCTCACCACTCCAGAGAGCCCAGAGCTTTTAGAAGCCCAGTGTCAAGAAACAGGGACTAAATACCTACCTCCGAAGTTCACGTGCACCTGAGGTTTCCTAGGCCATGCAGGTGGGGTAGCTCACATCTGAGCCTAGAGGAGGGATGTGGTTGTACACACCTAGTGTCCCGGTTCCTCCTCACCTCTCCTGGCTGCCCAGTGCATTTCCCTAGCGTGGCCTCTCAGTGGTGGTGAGGCCAGGCCATGCCTCCTGCTGTTGAAGCTCCTCCAGCTCTGGACCCACCATAAGCAAATGTCCTGGCCACCAGGCTTCAGCGCCTCTGACAGGTGTGGATGGCATCTTCTGTGCACCTGGCACTGTCCCGTTTGGGGGGCCCCAACCTTGAGGCCCCACAGGCATTTCCCCCTCTTGTGTATGAGCAGGGTTGTGCATTTTAGGAGAGTGCATTTGTGAGCTTCTAGCATTTCTGGTACTTGATCAAGAGGGGCTTTTAGAAGCATCCTAGTATATGGAGCACTTGCACGCCTTCAATTTGTCTGCTGTCCTGGGCAAAAATCACTCACTGCATCGCAGAATGAATGGCTGGAAGGTCACTTGGGGTACATGTGCTTTGCAGAAATAGCATTGAAGCTGCTGCAGCACAGTGGGCATGGCCTGGCCGACCAGCTTTGGAGGGCAGTGGCTGGGCAGCGGGGGCAGGCTCAGCTGTGGGTCTTGCACCAGTTCTTGAAGCAGCACGTGACTTCCGGCAACAGGCAGAGAAATAGGCCCACATGTACAGCACCCCTCTGCCGACTGGTGGGCATCGGGTATGTGGTAGGCCCAGGGTCTGTGTCTGATGATGGGCGCACTGGCCACACTGCTGGGGCCTCTAGTGCTTACGGTGCTTTGCTTTTGACTCAACTCGCTACATATGAGCCAATCACCCTTCAGGGCCTGACAACTCCTGAAAAGGGGTGTCAGTTCCTAACCGGTCCTCTGAGAAAGGACAATTTTTGGGGGCCTGGAGCCTATGCTCCCTCCGGGTTGAAATGGCTGGAAATATTAGATACAAGGGAAGATGACACTTGGTCAGAGGAGCCACAGGATAGCAGAAATCCATGCCCTCTGCCACCTGAGACTTTTCTTCCATAATTCTAATTGGAAAAAAAATCATGCTTGCTATATTTGAGGTTAATGCTCTAAATTCACCCTCTGGATTTTCACATTCCTCTTTTCAGGTTATTTTTTTTAAAGAAGTTTTTGCATTAGGGCACATGCACTTGCACGCACACAAGAGAGCAAGAGAGCGAAACAGACGGGAAGTGAATGACCACCCCCTCGTTGACGGCCATACCACCGTCTTCTCTTCCATTCTCCTGGGATCTTGGGCATGCATGCACATGCACCTGGCATGAGTTTTAAGTCGTTGGAACCAAGACTCAACCTCAGTCAGCCATGTGGGAGTCCAGTGATGTAACCGCTGCGCCATCTGCTGGCCCCTCAAGGTCTTTATTTATATAACCATGTAACTAGCTTACCAATGAGAGGGTTTATTGATTCTGATTTATCACATCTGTGTATTGTGAGAAAAAAAACACTCAAGAACAAAAAGAGTAAACTTTCCCTTAGAGGGCTTTATTTCTCTATTTTTATATGGATTATTTATTAAATTAGAAGGCTGAAGAGTAAAAATATATTTTACAATCAAAGAAAAATCTGGACACTGGACCCCAATAAAATAATCAGAAACATAAGTTCTGAGAACCATTCCCACCACCCCTGGGCAGAGATGTGCGTTCCAGCTGACACCAGGGAAGCCTGTACAGAGGGGCAAGTGGTACTTCCGAGATGCAGGAAGAGGGCGTGGCAAGACTCTAACGACACAGGATACTTCTCCCATCGCTGACATGGCTGAGGGACCAGGGGCTGCACCAGATCAGGTGGCCCTTGGGCTTCGACTCCAGCCAGCCATTGTCTGCCGAGGAGAAGACAGCTCAGGCTGCACCCCACCCCCTGCCCAAGGCAGCACGGCCAGCGAGGCTGTGTTCCTGATCACTGCATATGGCTTTGCAGCAACCTCGCCTCAAACACGGAGCAGGAGCATCAAGTAGGCCCGCGGAGGGCCCAGTGCCCCATACGAGGAGCCTGTCCAAGCCCAGATCTGCGAGTGACTTTTATCCCAGTGGAACACTGGTAAGGGTGGTGGGGCAGGGTCCCGCTCTGCCACTCAGAGAATTCTGAGCAGGCGCCATAGGGGGATCAAGCTTTCCACTGTACTAAACAAGCTGCTTTAGATGATGAGCTCTCAAACAGGAAAACAGACCTTGCGCCGAAGGAAAGGAGGCCCTTATTTAACTGAAGGCCTTATAAAATGGGTCTTTGATCTACTCAAAAAAAATGAAGTGTTCATGAGAATGGAAAATGAGAGACCATGGTAAGTTTAGAGCCACATCAAAACTGCCTCCCTCCCTCGAGCACAACCACCCCGTGTGCTGCCGCCTGTGGACACCTGCACACAGACTCCGGAGCCTGGCAGCAAGAGCTGCCGGTGCCCGTTTTCTCTCCAGATGCCCACAGACCCATACGTGCTCCTCAGCAACAACATTAAGGCAGAAACTGGGCGCTCATGGCCACCTGGAAACCAGGAGGCTCGGAAGCTGCAGGCTTGCACTCTGTGCTGTGCTATGTCCTGCAATGTCTCTACCAGAGCAGTCCAGAGCACGGCGGCCCCCACACTTTCATTCTCATTTTGGAAAGGAAGTCTGCTACGCAGGAACAAGACCACACTGCAGTCTGCCACGGAGAAGCCAGGGCCTCGTTTTGTTCAGAAGAAAGGTCCCAGTCTATTGAGCAAATGTGACCTCTTCCTTCCCACCATGAGAGTAAAACCCTTTAGGCCCCACAACTAAAGAGAAGCACTTGGTACCATCACCCCACCCCTATAACCACCACACGTCTTCAGGTTTACAAAAATAAATATTTATGAACAACACAGTTGACAAAAAGCACCTCCAACAGGCGGCAGAAAGCGAGAATTTCTAGCCAACATTAAAATGTAACCTAAGTTTGTTGAGGGGGAAAGAGACTAAAATTTAAATTCTAACTTCCTCACTCTTAACTCTTTCACAGAAGTCCAAATCAATAGGATTTGGTTTAAGGTCCATTTCAGTAGGATGCTCTATCCAAAGGCTGGGTACAGACACTTAGGAAGGTCAGCAACTGTAATTTAGCACAGAACTACAAATGCCACCAGCATGCAACGAGGTGCGCGGGCTTTTCAATGGTAAGTATATGACATAAAGTGCATCGTTTTTGAGAAATTTCTCAAATTTCTGATTTTCCCAACCACATGTCACCTCATCTGTCCCTAAATCTGCTCTGTCTGTAGCCAGGGTACTGCCCTAAAGTCTGCAATCCCAGACATCACACCCAGTGGCCCAGTGGTTGGGTATGGGCACCTCTGGCCTTGGAGGGGCTTAAAAGTGTCAACATTGACACTATCTAGCTCCCAGCTGAAACTATAGTGCCCGTGCATGGCATTTACCTCATCTTCATCAGTAGTGAGCCCACAGTGCCTGCATCCCCACCCACCCCACACGCACACACTCACGCATACACAGATGCACACGCAGCACTGCACCTATTCCTTTTTACCCTTAACTTCAGATTCTGCCACAAGAGCCTATCACGTAGAGAATGGGCCCCCTTGAGACAATGTCCCACAAAGTTGGCATCAAACACAGCAGGAGAGAGAATTGGCGGGCCCCAGCCAGCGAGGGTGGCTTTGCTTCTGACGCCCACTGGCCAGCGACAGGCAGAGCCCAGATGATCACGCTGAGCTTCCTTCCGCACACCAGGGCTGGATGCATCCCATGTTCATGCTGCAATCCGTCACCGAGGCCTGGCCATATAGGCCAGATAAGCTAGGCACAAGGTTAGTCCTGCAGCTGCTGCTCACCAGAGAGCTGGGGCTCAGCATGCCGAGGCTGGACAACACTGGGGAGCAGCTGGGCTCTCAAAGAACGGTGGGGACAGAAAGGAGCCTGCAGCTGGGAAGTTCTAGAAGTAACCCAGGAACCAGTGTGTGTGGACTCTCTGTGCCTTAAGTTAATAGGTCTACCCTGGTTAAGTCATATAACTCATTAATCAAACCAGAAACATGCTCAGCCATGTCTAACGCCTGGCAGAGGCAGCTGCTGTTCTACCACAAGCACATTTTCCAGAGCAGTGTGAGAAGAGGGGGAGACATGGCCTCAGAGGCAGGCAGGGGAGTCCGTGCAGGGAGGTGGCTCCATGTCCCTCATCTCCCAACACGAGGCAAGGAGGGGCCCACCCCCTCTGGGACTGATGATCAAGAAGGGCTGCCAGGAACCAAAGACCCACATGCATCCTGAGCACAGGGCGTAGATGGGGACACAGACGTTCGAGGAAGGGGCTACATGGGTGCTCTTTCCGAGAATCTCATTGGGATGGTGCTCCCTGGGGAGCCCTGGGTTGGCAAGTCCAAAGAGCCAGTGGCAGTGACCGCAGCACGGGGAGGCCGCCTACGACTCTTCACCCATCTGCAGCAGAGAGTTGATGGCAGCGTCCTTGTTTCCTCTCTGGGCTTCCAGGACGGAACGGATCACTTCCCTGTCCATGTTGGGGAACATGTCCTGGATGGCTTTCAGATCTTCCTCGCTGCAGCGGGGTGGGGCGCTCACACCTGGCGGGGGCATGGCCACGGGGACCATGCCAGGGCTGCAGACAGCAGGCA